TGGATTTTAGATCATACTTGCTCGTACGGAAGTGGAAAAAACTGGGTTTATTAAAAGTATATTCTGCAGGGCACAATTTCTAGTAGGGAAGGAACATAAACATAAAAGTAATGATCTACATATGCATGTAAGATGCGGAACTTGCCTTCTATTCACCATAAACATAAGGATACAAATAAAAATAAAATAATTTGACCTCTTTTAGGATCTCTGTTTAGGAAAGAACTCGCAAGATCCTACAACCCACTTGGGATTGATTTTAATTAATCTGATCATACTTGCTCATACAGAAGGGGAAAAAAGTGTCACTTGCCTTGTAGTAGGGAAGGAACAAAAACATAAAAGTGATGATCTACGTATTTATGAGACGTGTCACTTGCCTTCTATACTACACCATAAAAATAAAATAATTTGACTCTTTTAGGTTTATCTCTGTTTAGGAAAAAACTCGCAAGATCCTACAACCCACTTGGGATTGATTTTAATTAATCTGATCATACTCGCTCATACGGAAGGGGGAAACTGGGTTTACGCAGTGGACACTTGAATGCCAAAGTGAATAATGCCAAATAGTTTGTCTACACAATTTAAGATAGGAAGAGTTAATTGTAATTTCTGATCTTATACGAGAAACTCCTACACACAGTCACAAACTCTTTGTATAATACAAATTAAATTTGCCCTATATGTAAATTTGATATAATGCGAGTTCAACATCTGGAATGGAAGCAAAAACAAAAGAAATCGAGGTTACTGTTAAATATATGTTACATGAAAGCATCGTCGAAATTCTTGTCCGATAAAAATCAACTTTGGCCTATCTTTATTATGAATACATTGCTCAAGGTTTCAACATCCAACTTGGCATTGATTCGGTGAAAAATGTATATTGTGTGGCACAATTATCACCTAAGGAGAAAAGGAAACAGTATAAAACTCGGTCTGTTTTGGGCCCCATGACTTGTATAGATACAACAAATTAAAATGAGGGTATTAATCTGATCACATTGATCAATAAGAAGCAAGTGATGTCGTATCACAATCTGTAAACAAAGGCAGTGCAAGAAACCTAACCATATGGATGGACAAGCCACCAACTAGTCTAAACTTACTGATGAAAAAAACAATAAGAAAAATATATACTGAATATAGTATATTCTACATAAGACTTCAAGTATCTTCTAAATTTGTCATATCAATTATGTTTTTGACCTAATCAGCCTGGTATTGAATGTATACAGAAACGTTTTGAGTAAATTTTAACTAATCTGATTTTAGGTGTATCAAATAAAAAATACACTTCTAATTACTCGTTGTCCTAATTTTGTACCATCAGTTTGTACTGACGTATTACAACGTAAAATTATTACATACATATCCACATGGACATGAATCTGAATAAATGAATAAACATGATTTTACTCGAAATGTATGTTTCTTTAATGGGGGACATCGTCTTGTACGAAACCAATTGAATTGACATTGAAATCGGAAGGAATCTGGACAGGCTGACAGCAATCTGGTGGGAAGGTACGGGACAGTTTTGAATTCAAAATGAACATGAATGTCAATCGACAACTGCAACACCCAAAGAGAAGAAAAAAAATCGTTCTGTATTTAACAGAATATCACCCGAGGGACATAGTCTGAGTGGTAAACTGGATGTAACTGTGGATGGAACATGATAAACAAATGTACACATGAACTGTACAAAAGAGAACGTGTTTTCTGATCGAAACCCGTTTTGGCCAACTATGCAATAATAATACTGAATGTAACAGTTTTCTATTGTCAAAAAGTATTTGTGAATGGAACATTCCAATGATAATGATGGGTAGACGATGATTACAGAGACCTAAAAGGTGTATTTATGACGTTTGAATATCCTCGGCATTGTACTCCTTACTATTTAGGCGTTATAATTATTCACTTGTCTGACATAGTGATTTTTAATTCAGGCAGGAACCAGTTTGCAATTTTAAAATCCTTCCCTTTGTCGATCTTATGATTCTAATCACTTTGTGAAATAAACATGGCAAAAGGGTTTAAATAGGGTTTCTCCATTCTGGACAAAAAGGTACGATGTCGGAAACCTCAATTACATTTTAAACTACATTAAAGGCCTATTGCACTTAATTTCGTCGAAATAGAGTAGGCCTCGAGAATCACCCACCCCGGGTGTAGGCAGTCCGGGGGTCAGACCTCGGTTTCATCCGTCCATCCACCAAGACTGGGCAATCAATAGGTCATTTCAGCCCTCAATGCAATCAGTCCTAAAACTAAACCCATTCCCACTTTCACTCACTGTTAATCACATTCTTTCCTTACCTACCTGCAGGGTGGTCGAGTATTTGATTTCCTCCTTCGCCCACTACTAATATTATATAACTAATCTAACTGAGGGTCGATGGGAACTCAATATTCCGCCATCGACCACATTCACGGCACTACATACATTCAGCCTCAATATACTGAAAGAAACACAATACGAGATATCAATAAAGTACTACATATAGTAAAAAAGTCCCGTTTTCTAAAAAAATCGAAACAGGAGGCCTAAATACTAACTGCCGTGCTCAAGCACATTTCGCATATGGGTGGCATTACTACACGTTCTCTATATGGACCCAAGGAGTGGCACCCTTGAAATCGTATAGGAAGAGAAAATCCGTAGTTTATTTCAGATACGACAATGGGAGGGTTAAAAATATTTTTAAATATGTTGATTATGTACAATGGATTTGTTTTCTTTAACGAATAGTCAGCTTATGAGGGTTATACAGGCCTGAGTCATATTATTCTAGATAACTGTAGAGACATTTTGAGTCGTTGTAATGGTAGTGGCTTTCATAGCAATTTTAAATCACAGCCGTGCCCAATTAAAACCTAAACTAAAACATCCATTTAATTCCATTTTGTAATCCCATAAACCTCCGAATAAATCGTATCTGACTTTTATTTATTTTTACTGTTAGGACAGTAGGCAGCGGAGATAACATTTTGTTAAAGTTAACTATTTGTTTTGTGTCATTTACTTTTCGACAAATAATAAAATACAATTGTCTCCTACTGTATAGAATTAGGAACTTGATTGTTTGTTGCCACAAGAAGAGCCACAATTAAGTCAATTCAATTTTTTGTGCTTAATCAAGTTCGAGCTAATCACACACAGTGATATCGAGCTAATACCTGCCCGAAAGGATATTTTCCTTGCATTCTCTTATACATTTCCCAAAAAGATTAACATCCGTCTGCTTTTAATGTTAACAACAGTTCTCCTTCTCGGGGGAATTTTTATAGCCTGAAAAATCAACGTCCCTCAATCTAAATGGAAAGAAGTGAAATATTTTAGCCTTTGAGGCCGAATAAAATTTAAAAAATAAAAATAGTTTAAAAGACGTACTTGTTTCGGCTCTCAAGCCAGGAAATATAGACAAAAGAATTTGGGTTGTTTTGCCAACCCGCATTCCCTCGGATAGACTTGGTTTTGACCCGATTTTTTAAAAACGATGTTATGGTACCATAAAAAAGCAAAAATTCAGTTTGGCGTACCGCCCTCTTTTGGTCAAGCTTCTGTCCCTGTCCCTATCCTAATTAATTCCTACTCAACAGGACTGGAAAAAAGGTCCATAAAATCGGAAATTTATCGTCCTCGGAATAGCCGGTCTGGTGAAACAACAACAAAGTTATCGACTTTTTTTTTTTAACAATACATTCTTGAGGAATGATTAAAATTCTTATTCAATAAGTTAAAAGGAAAAAAAATTAAGATGGAGAAAAACGCTTTAAAAAACCACTTCACTGAAGAACAGATTTTCTACTGAGAACGGTTTTCCCCCAAAACAGTACGTTCTTGGGGAATGACTAAAATTTACTCAAACATTTAAGTTATTATTACTTTTAATGATAAAGCCTTTTTTCTCTGCTTTTTCTTAAATTAAAAAAAAAATTTGAGAGACAATTCATCGGCAGTATATGTATATTGATAAATAATTGAATAAGGAAGAAGGGGGCGCCGGTGGCCGCAACGGTTTAGGCATTACACGGCGCTCATCACTGTGAGGTAAAGGTCCCGGGTTCGAATCCAGCGTCCCCTGCATTAGAATCCGACATATTTACAAATGGTTTTTTTTTTTTTTTTTCAAAAACACCGGCACCCTGAGGGTTTATATGACCTCTGCTATTGCGAACCCTCATCAAGGAATTCGTGAAAATATTGTACAATAATTTCAAAATTAAACAACTAGCGCATGGCAAGTCAACAAGTTCAGCATTTCCTCATACAGTTGGCACATATGTTGGCCTTTAGTCTAAATTTGAACAAAGAAAAACAAATCCTTATTACAATTTGATATTTAATCGTTGAGAAAACTGTGAGCCACTCAGGTTTCGCTGGTTGGCACGGATTTGCCATTTGGAGCAATAGACAACAGACATCAGATTATCCAGGAAATTCTATAATATCTGTAACAATTCGTCGATATTTGATGTTGATTTTGTACTGTTTGCGCTTTGAAATTTATAAAATGTGAAGGACGAAATGTGTTACACTCTCAGCAAATAAAAAATGGCATAGAAATATTTTATCAGTAAAATCAATAAACTCTGTGAACAAAAATAGCGACTTCGCCTGTATGACTAACAGACATTCGGGGCAAAACAAGCTATTGATTTTGATAATTACACCTTCCTCTCTTAAATTAAAAAACCAGAAATATTTAAATTAAAATTGATACATTTTATTCATTTTGTGGCAAATAGACAATATTTGTATAAAACGCTTAGGAACGATTTTAAACTCAACCAAAAATCGATTCTAGAATTAATTTCAAACGAGGTCTTCACAAATTTCGATCACCTTTTTTATATCAATAAATTATTTTGAAAAACAAATTGATTTAATTAAAAAAAAGCATTTCTTTGTGTCATTTTAAGCCTCGATTAGAATCTTTCCACTCAAATTTATTCGCGGTACAAAGGCAGACGTTAAAATATATTACCTCCAGGACATCTTGAGCAGTATGAAGATAATCCCGCAGCATATCTTCTTGGATAGCTCTCCATTCCAACCTTGGATCCTCTAATTGAGTGCATTCTAAAAACGAAAGAAAAAAAACAAGATATAGTACAGCTACGTAATAAAATTATTAAAAAATAAGTGTGTTGAGCATTCAAGATTTCAATTGAAGAACGAAGAAAACAAAGGACTTACATACTTAAAAACGTCAAGGGTTGGAGTATATGTAAGAATGTTGTAAAATTGAACTGAATAAAATTGTGCACGGTCGTACAATCATATACTATATCGGAAAGAAGTCAAAAAAATTATCCGAGTTGTCTCCGTTTTTTTTTTTTTTTTTTTTTGGTGAGGGGAGATTCTTTTGATTTGCATGATTTAGCATTGAAATTCATTACATAAACAGGAACGCACTTTTCCATTAAAAACCAAATATGCAATTTAAACTAAAGTATATATCATCTATATAATTATTTATAGAACTAATAAAATGTAACTGAGATTAGTTCAACAAACAAATAGGATAAAGTGAAAATATACAGATATGATCAGTTCGACCAACTGCTGACAGCAGAAATTTTGTTTGTTTATAAACTCCCATATGTAAACTATCTGGGTTCAAAAGTATTTGATTTTCCTTTATCAATCCTTTTTCGTAGAATCGGTCGTTTATTTTTGAAAAAAAAAATAGGCCTATTGATAGAATTTAATGTCAAATCAGGTATAAAATATGACGAAACTACAACAGATTCTGCTGTTTTACAAAACTGGAAGAATTTCTAAATATACCCCTGACAGCTGTTAATTTTACGCTTTTTTCCTTACATTTGTAAATTTGACGGAGTGTCAAAAATCAAGCTCATTATAAATATGGGATTGTTTCAATTATGGTCATCTAAGATACAAGATAAATATTCTATGTATTTAAATTATTTTTCAGTGTTGAAAAAGTTATTGTCAAAACAAGATTGATCAAACGTACAAACTGAGTAAATTCAAATGAAATATTTCTTATTCCTACATTGATACGATCAAAAAAAATTTTTTACACCAATAAAGAAAAAACATTGATTACAGTGCAATAAAACCACAAAACAATCTAGGCTCGTTTAATTGAAAACAGTATAAATAAACAAGTGCGCGAAATACATTTGGAAATGAAAGTCTTGTGGTACGGAAACTCGTGTGGAATGAGTGAAAGTCACGGTTCGCCTATCTGGGGTCCGCCTGTTCTCGCTGGTCGTCTACCCCTCTATCTGTCATTGATATCGACGAAATTCAAAAGTGTTATATTCACTACAAAACACTTAAGATAAATTGTCAAACAACAACTCTAAACAGTATAAATTTTATAATTTTTAAAATCAAAATTGAATACAACTACTAGAAATAAAGATAAAAACGCCTGATAACAAATTTTTCTAAGGGAAATGATTATTTCATCCTTTTGCCTCTCAGAACTTAAACGAAAAATAAATCAAATAAGATATAATAATATAGTAATATTTAAACATATATACGTTTTAATATCACTAAATGAAAATAATTATACTCACAGGAAATAAATATTTTACATTTTGAACTCAGCTGCTCGACCTCTCTTAAGTCTTATGCTAAATGTCCTTCTTTACTACTTTTAACCCCCTTTTAATAGCGTCATAAATCTTTTATTACGCTTACAAGAAATTTATGCTAAGATTATAACAATGTTTAACAACTTGTCTTACAGAGTTCATCCTTGAGGTGTATTTCTCAAAAGGCCGCAGTAAAACGGGCGTTCTTTCAAAATAAGAATGAACTGAACACTACAAATTTCATTAATGAGTTGTTTTTGAGAAAAACAAATCGAAATCCCCTGCTGGCTTTGGAATTACAATAGGAATTATGCTTAATCCATGTCGTTAAGACACTTTCAGACAAGAAGTCTTTTAATCTGGACTACTGGTTAATGAGTAGTGATTAGTTACGATTGGCTAATGGCACCTAGGTGTTTAATAGGTTATTCCACTTTAGAAGGATGAAGAATATAATGTTGACATGGATTGTCGTACATGAAGCGGAACCGATGTACGTTGAACGATATCCCTGTATGCTCCATTGCATACAGCAATTTCCTCCAGACGGGTATGTTCGTCGACCCAGAAGAAAACCAGTTGCATTAGTTTCAGTTCAATTTATGAATTAAACTATCAGACAAACGAAGCAACCGCGAACATATACAATGTATAATATTTATTTATTAGTTACATGTACAGAATTATAGTGATAACAATAAATGTACATTCCCCCCACCTACTATATTTACATTACGATATGAAGATCATAATCTATTAGTTGTGGATGTACTAGACCACAATACAATGGAATACATGCTATCAGTCCGTAAATTATTGTTCAAAAGTGATAGTTTCCAAAAAAAAAGTGTTAAATAATACTTTACACAAGAAGAAAGACATAGTAAGACTGCCATTAATGGTTTTTTAACCAAGAGTATCTTTAGTTGTGGACGAATGTTTCTTTACAAAAGCGTTTTGTCAAAGAGAAATTTTGATAGGTATATCAAACGAAAAGTACCTTCCTTAAAAAGCAGTGTGACCAATTTGTGTAATGGCCTTGTGATCTTGCATATGAGCGTCGTAGACAATATGCGTATGCGTATTTTTTTTTTGGGGGGGGAAGAGTGCGTGAAAAAGGGCAGTGGCGACGGTGGGAATCGAACCCACACCGCGGCGTCTACGAGCTGAGAGTATATCACGCTAACCACTCAACTACCACGTCGTATAACTAACTATCATAAATTTTGTTTATTAAAACTGATCAAATGAGTCCATGTCTTACAATGTGCTGACCATGTGGCAAGCGGCTGGTTGGTTTTGAAGAGGTTGATAGTGCTTCTATGCATACATCTTTGTGTCGAGGTGAGGGATGTTCAGATCTCTGTGTATGTCGCTATTGCGAACATACCAATGAGCATCTACCTTGATTCATAGAACTTTATTTTGGAACCTTTATATTTTTTTGTGTTGCTTCTTTTGGCACACTCTCAAATGTATACTATACATCTATATAGGTTTTAATGTATGATTACGGATATCTCTGTTGGTTGTTTATGTTGACCTTCCAAGGCCAATCATGCTGTCGACTGACTTTTGCAGTCGGTTCGTGGACGAATAGATATGTGGTTCTACTGAGTAGTCTGTGTCATTGGCAAATGTTGCGACGCTTGTGTTTTTATCTGTGGTAGGTCACTTGCATACAGCAAGTATAGCATGGGGCCTAGGATGCTACCTTGCGGTACCTCAGTCTTGATTTCAAACAAACCGGAGTTGTCTTGCATAACTTGGAACATTTCGGAAGGTGCGAGGCCAAATGTTCAACACTTATTTGGTAATATTTTTTTAAGCTTATGAATTAAACCTTCGTGCTAACACATCTTGCGATACGTCTAAGAATAAAGCTGAACATTTTTATATTCCAGAGCTTTCTCTATGTGTGAACCCGTAAATTATGATTAAAGAGCAGTTTACGAAAAATAGCGTACGCCGTACGCTTGACAAATAGAAAAACTTTGCAAGGGTTTATCAAACATACACAGCTTCTGAACCATCTAAAGTCTTTTGAGAAATTAGGAAATATCGTACAAAGACAGATTGTTAATTCTGCTTCTATCTGAATTTTCGACGTTTTATCTCGCTTAATTTATCTTCCCCGATTAACAGACTTTTTTTGTTTGATTTTAAAACTGTCATTTCACAGTGGGCGAAGTACAATAGGTTCGAAGTCACGTCGTAACTTCACGCGTTACCTTTGAAAACATTGGCTATAAAAATACCATTGTAAAATTAATAAACCCCATTTGAACGCATTACGATAAATGGTAAAAGCATGGTTGTTTATATACCGAGAAGTGGCTCAATGTGAAGATAATTAAATTTGCTATAAAATTACTAACAATTGCTGGAACAATTGGTTTAGCGTTCGAGATTTTGTTTTGGGTGAACCAGGATTGATAACTGGCAATGATAAGTCGAGATAATGAAACTAGGACAGGATATTGACGTATAACTTTAAGGAAGCGTCTAAAATAGCAATCAAAGCTCATGAAGTATATTTAATATAAAGTTTTTTAAGCATCAAAAACTGCTTGTATTTAATTTTTAGCGCATTGGCATATGGCATTGTCATCTGGAAACAACGTTGGTAAAACTATTATAATATTTGATACAGACCATGTTTTAAAGATTTTGAAACACAAACAAATGCCACTTTCGTACATATACACTTGGTCTCTTGAAAATGTGCAATTCGCAAAGAAACAATTGGCCCACGACGACACACGTGACCCTGTCCTACGAAATACCGTAATAATAGAACGGAAAGGCGGCGGCTGAGACCTTTCCGGTTATGGAACTGGAATTGCAAACGTTGCCAAAATGGAACACAATAATAATCTATATTTGCTTAGTGTCATATTGATTCCGATTAATTATTCTTTTTATCTGAGGTTTTTGGTTGAGATGAAAAATTAGTGCCACGAGCGAGATTCGAACCCACGGCCATGGATAAATACACCGCTGCTCTAACCACTTGACTTCAATCCCCTCGGATACCAACTCCTCATCCCAACCTACAACCGTTCGAATTGTCCCTCTTTTTGCCTTATTTTCAAGTCGTGTAATCAGGATTCGATTTTCAGCGACTTAAGAAGTGGCCACGGGGAGCTATTAGTGAACTATTAAATTAACCCATATTTGCTTAGTGAACATAATTGACCATAATAATTATTCCAATTATTCTTTTTATCTAATGTTTTTGGTTGAGATGAAGTAGAGACTGAGTTGGTGTCCGAGGGGATCGAAGTCATGGTAGCTCAAGTGGTTAGAGCAGCGGCGTATTCAGCCGAAGGTCGTGGGTTCGAATCCCGCTCGTGACACTAATTTTTCATCTCAACCGAAAACCTACGATAAAAATAACTTGCGATGTACCCGAAGATTTAAAGCATTTACTTACGATTGCGAAGACTATCACGAAATCAGAGAAACTTTCCTAGAAGAAATTTTGAACGTAACATCATTGAC